AAATTTGAGATTAATAAGGTAATATAACTCAAGTTATTAAATTAATTAATATATATAATATTATTAATTTAAAAAAATAAAAAATTAATTATTAAATAGTATATTATTTATTTTTTAATATTTTAAATAAAATAATTTATGTGATATTATTAATTTTAAATTTTATCTTAAATTTTAATTTTATTCATCATTATTTAATTTTTAAAAACTACTTTTTGTATTTTTTACTATTTAGACATCCTGTCAAAAATGGATCAGTGAAAATAAACTTTGCTCAAAAGAAAAGCCAAACTTGATTTTCCGAAAATTAACTTCCGAATTTGAAATCCGGAAATTAATTTCTCCAAAAACTCGCGGGCCGTCCGGCCCGAAATCTCCGTCAAACCCACTTGCTAGTATTGCCAAGTGTGTGAAATTTTGCAAATTTAAGTCCTCTTATTTTATTGAACAATGTAAATAAATCCTATTAATTTTTATAGTGTTCAATATGGTCCCTGTCGTGGAAGAAATCTAGCGTCTTTTATTCCTAAACGGCATCCAACGCGGTTGCATTTTTCTTCGCTTATCAAATAATAAAAAATAATTTTCTTAAAAAATTTACTAAAGTATTCTAAATAACAAAAAATAATTTTAAAAAATCTTACATAGAAAAATATTTTTTAATGTGAAGTCTTTTTTCATGAATCGAATGAATCCTAAATTATATCTTATGAAAACTTTAGGTAAAGTACTTCTCGTACTCCTCATCATAATAAAACATTTTGATTTATCAAAAAAAAAAAAAAAAAACCCTGAATTACAATTTGTTCTGGTTACTATTTTGTCTTCCATCAAAAATGCAAAGTACTTTTTCGGGGTGTTTGGATAAGGGGAAATTGTTTCCCTTAAATTCTCTAAACTTTCTTCTTCTAAAATTATTTATGTATATTCATACATTAATGTTATAACAAAACAGTCACTACAATTAGTTCAAATTCAAGCTGCTTTATTTGACAAATTATATCCAAAGGAGGGAGAGAAAGATTCTGTAGTTTGGACACCTTTTACATATGGTATCTTCACAATAGGAGCAACTTGGGATTGGATTAGAGAAAAACAGGGAAAGCAACCTTGGCTCAAGCTAAGTTGGTTCTATGATGTAATACCTAAGCACAGTTTCATAAGTTGGTTAGCTACTCTTAACAGACTCACAACCAAGGGTCGCTAGAAACAATGGACAAAATGTTGATGACACTTATGTTTTATGTAAATGTGACCCAAAAAGAAGTCAAACATTTATTTTTTTAAGTGTGGATACTCAAAGGGCATTTGGCAAGAATTTAGCTACATGACAGACATTCCTTTGCTAGACTCATGGTAGAATTTATTAGCCTGGCTTGGCATGAAAGTTTGAAAGAAATCTCTACATAAGACTTTAATCAAGCTATCTTGGAACGCTGATGTATATCATATATGGATAGAGCGGAATCCAAGAATTCATAAGCAGCACTTCAAAACTAAAACAACACTGCTCGCAAAAATTCAGTGTGAAGTTAGATGCAAAATTTTGAGTTTTACTCGTCCACACTCATCCCTTTTACCTAGAGCTACTGCAATAAAATGGGGGGCTTGAAGTTGTTGTAAAGAAATAGTACAAAACTTCTAACGTTAATATTGTTCATATAGTTATCTTTTCTTGTAGCAGTTGTTCTACTGCTTTGATGTATTGCTAGTCTTTATGGATAAAAAAATTCAAATTTTAACCCAAAAAAAAAAAAAAAACTATAACAAAATAAGAGTAAAAATAACATTTTTATTTTTTATTTTTCCTGACATGATTCTCAATTAATAGAATTTTCTTGCTACTTATTTTGAAAGAAAAAGGTTTTCCTATAATTATATCTAGTTGAACTCAGTTAACAACTTTTTCTACTAACTTTTTCTATATTAATTTCTTATCAAACATAATAAAATTAATAACTCAATAAAATTTTAACAAAACTTCATTATAAAACTTAATAATTTTTCCTACAGTATTTTCCTAATCAATTCTCCAATAAAAATTTTCATAATAAAGTAGCATTCTAACCAAATAGACTTAAGTTTTACATTTCACTTTGGTGAGAGATGAGTCTTGAGTTCATGATTTCGAATTACCCTTTCCTTAAAGACCACGAGCTAAATTATAATTAAGCTTTTAAACTTTAATAAAGAAATATACAAAGTTCTCAATTATTTAAGAAGTTAAAAATCAACTTATGTACATTACTTACTCAATATCTTAAATAGCATCTTATGCATTCAACACTAAACAGATAATATAAGCAAAATGGAGTTAATGATGTCTTTTGCAGTTCTAGAGGACACAGGACAAGAGTCCTTGTCAACAAGGATCCTAGTATATACTAGTTTTTTCTTCAACTCCAATCTTTTGCTAACTTTTATCTACTAAAAGTAGTTGGATTAATAGTAGTAAAATACAGATTAAATATCAAATTTAGTTTCTAAACTTTTAATTTTAAATAATTTTAGTTTTTGAATTATTTTTTAATATATTTTTGTCTCTCAACCATGAGAAATGTATTTTTTTTGTTCTTTCTATCAATTTTTTCCGTTAGGTCTGTCCAACTGACATTTTTTAAACTTCCTTTAATGACCTAAATGTGCATAAAACAAGAGTACATGAACTAAAAAAGTGCAACAAATATAAATTTAAGGATAAAAAATGTATGGATAAAACAAAAGTTCATGAACAAAAAAATACTAGCTATACAGACTCAATAGACAAAATTAACAGAATGACAAAGAAAGTGCGGTTTTCATAATTGAGGAATATAAAAAGAAAATAATAATTTAGGAACTAAAATTGTTCAAAATTTAAAGTTTAGGGACTAAATTTTGGGATTTAACCTAAAATGGAATCCTTCACCAAAAGGAGGGGAAAAACTGAAGACGGAGACAAATATCAAACCAATCAAATCTAACACAATCGCTAAAAAAATCCACTGAAATATAGGGAAAAAAACCTCACTCAAAAACTTAGTATTAGTAATACCATCCATCAAACAAGTAATAGTAAGACAAAACAAGAGAATATCCATACCAATCCCGTTTTGCACCATGACTTTAAATACTAACAATAATTATTTAACTCTAACTACCCATTACAAGCAAGTCGCATATGTGAGTTTGTATAAGCCAAGAATTGCAACAGGCCAGCCATGGTGAAGGGATTAAAGACTCTGGTCAATAAGATAATCACCAAGCCTTTCCACAATCATGTTGCACTTGCCAGGGGTCATTGGCTCATCATAGATGTCAATTATCAAGGCCTTATTGGTCTTTTTAACAGTAACACCACCTGGTTCCTGAAATTAAAGTAGTAAAAGATCAGAATACAAGGTTAACAGCAAACTGAATGAATGTAACGATAAATAGAAAACGAGAAGATTTGAAGATAGAGAACAAAGAGAGAAATGTTACCTTATTAGTTTTCTTTCAGTGTCTTCATCTCCTGAGTCAGAGCAGTAAACAAAGATTTGAGCCCCTCTTTCTCCAGAATCAATTCTTCGTTGCTTTCCCTCAATTCTTTGTTGCTATCTCTTAACTCTTTCAACTCAGCCAGAATTTGCTTAAAGTCTTCTTGCAATGAAGTTTGAACTGGGGAAGCTCCTGTACACTGAGTAATTAGCTTTAGTTAGGGTTGAATGACTTGCTTTGGACGACACCATTGTCTCACCAAAAAGGAAAAGACAATGAAAATAGTGCATCAGATAAGAATTAAATTGTCATACCAAATCAAAAATATTCTGAGGGTAATCTGAATTCATCATCAAATTCTTCAGTAATGCCAGAAACAAAAAAAAATTAAGAGAGATGAAATGCAGACAGCCTACGTTGCAGATGAGTGTTGACTGAAATGATAAAAGTTTTGAATTTAAAAGACACAAATGTTGTGTAGAACAAACTTAGCTTTGAAATTCTTGAATCACAACTTTGGTAAAGGCATAATTAACAATTAAGAATTGTGTTTGATAAAGAGATGTCTGATCAAGTCATCATAAATTCATAATTCAAGCATTCGGACATGCAATTGTGATAAAGAGACATGGTGCATGGAATTAAAATGACAATTTATTTCTATACATTAATAACCTTCCACAAATAGAAAAGAGAAAAAGATAGAGAGAAAGACCAAGTAGAGAAATGTTACCTTATCATTCTTTTTTAGTGTCTCTATATCCTGAGTCAGAGCATTAACCTTATAGTCGAGTACATTAACCTTAGAGTTGAGCTTCTTGTTCTCACTTATCAATTCTTTATTGCTATTTATTATCTTCCCCAACTCATCCAGAATTTTCTTGAAGTGCTGCTCCGACATTCCGTTTTGGGAAGATCCTGTACCCTGAGTAATTAGCTTGTTTGTTGGGAGGTCATCAATCTGAGACAATATGGAAAGGGAATTAGTAATTGAGAATGAAAGATCACCAATCAAATAGCAGTGCATTACGGTTGTCTTGTCTACACCTTCAACACTACCAAGCTTAGCCCCATTAATAAGAATCAGACGGTCATTATTTTAAAAAACTGCAAAATTACAAAATGGGGGAAATTTTGCAGTATCATAACAAAAATATCAACAATCAAAGTTATATCCAAGAAGTTGTAGCTTGGGTTAAAAGTGGAGTTTGCTCCTCACCTTAGTGAATAGTGACCAAAGTTCAATTCTTTAGCCCTTAGGGGGGGTTATCAAAAGAGGGGTAATTCCTTGTGAAGCAAGTTAGATGTGGATGACGTACCTTTGATGTTACAACAAATAAGGGGAAAAAAAAAAACCAAATGAAAGTTGTGCATCAAATAAGTATAACCATACCCCATTGGAGTGCTCAGATAAAGCCAAAACCATCAACCTATTCTCCTGCAATGCCAGAAACATTGCAGGTAATTTATATCCATATATAAACAATAAAGGATGTGCATCAAATAAGAGTTATCATTCTCCGTCAAAAAAGTAGTCAGCTAAATCCAAGTCCATCAACATATTCTTTTGCAATGCCAGAAACAGAGAACAAAAAAATGAGATGTATAGAGCAGATAATTTATTTCCATCCAAAGACGATGAAAGTGTGTGTTATCATACCTCTCCTTCAAGATAAGGATAGTCCATAGGAATTTGCATGTTCGTCAAGTCATTCTCCTTGATCTATATATGTTAGAAACAGAAAACAGAGAAAAATGAGATGCAAAGTTTCAAGAATTGCTGATAATTTTGTTCCATCCCATATCAACAGGAAATGCTAATCTTATCTTCAAGCAAAGCAAAACATAAGATGTGCCTAGTATACATTTCCTCCCTGCAGCAAGATCTACTTAGTAATTAACAAACTATAAAGCAGCATTCCATTATCATACCTCTCTTTGAAGAAACTTGTTCATAAGACTTTCCATGTTCTTGAAGTTAATCTTCACATGTTAGAAATAGGAAACAGAGAAAAATGAGATGCAAAGCTTCAAGAATTGCTGAAAATTTATTTCCATCCATATTAACAGTTACAGTAATTATCACAAAAAGTAAAACACAACATGTGCCTAGTATATATATATTTCCTCTTTCCTTTTTCCCCGCAGAAAGATCTAGTTAATAATTAACAAACCATAAAGCAACTGATAATAACATATTCCACTTATTATTTTGAAGAATCCGCCTGCTGTCTATACGGCCAATTATTTAAAAAAACTAGAGAAAGAACACACTTTTCTAAACGTCCAAAAATAGAAAAGAAAAGAGACCAAAAGTGAAAAATGCTACCTCAAAATCTTCTTTCATTGTCTTCATATCCTGAGTGATAGCAGGAAGAAGCTCAGAGTTGACTTTCCCCATTTGGCTATCCAATTCTGCATTTTTCTTTTTCAGAATTTCCAATTGAGGTTTCATTTCCCTAGTTTCTTGTAGCATATCCTAAATGTGCAGAAACATAAAAAATAAAAAATAAATAAAAATTAGAGGAAAAAAAATAATCATGATTAACAAGATGAAAATGAAGATGATGAATCATGAATGTAGAATAATTTGTTTACCTTGGTATTATAATAACGTTTCTTGTCACAGGCCTTTTTTCTTGCATCTTTTTCACCAGGAGTCAGTGTAGCCTTCCTGCCTCTTTTTTTGGTTTGATGGGATGAAGTCTCAACGACTCCAACCATCCGGCCTCCTGTTTGGAGTTGATCGGAGGAAGCCTTAACGACTTTAGTCTTCCAGCATCTCTTTCGTGGTAGATGGGAAGACGACTCGGCTTCAGTAGTCCCTTGAACCTCCACCATTTCAGTTTCATCAGGGGAAGATGTTTTCTTTACGGTCATCTTCTCAAAGAAAAGCTCAGAAAAATAGCGAGGTCTCTAGTTGGAGGTCTGCAAAGAGGAAGAAGCGATTATAAGACTGATTTTCATTTGAAGCGTACTGTCACGCACCGCGAGCTCAGACGCCCAAGAGAAGGGTCCCAACGCCACGGTCGCGGTGCAACGTCGCGGGCACGATGGCCTGGCGCGCTCGCGCGCAGCGTCCCGATGGCACGGCCGCAAGCAAAAGTGGGAATCACTCCAGATAGGGGTCTGGACGGGCCCATTGGGCCCCACTCATGTAAATATCTACCTAGGACCTTGTAAATACTTCTCTAGAAGGGGTAGTTCTAGAATATTCTAGGCTAGGCTAGGAGGGAGGATTTGAGGGTATTTTAGTAATTGTACAAATGAGGACTCTTGGAATGCTGCCTGGGGTGGTTGGCCTCCTCTATAAATAGAGGGAGCCTCAGAAGGCAGACGGAACTAAGCCAAGCATTACCCAAGCTCTTGTATATTTTCCTTGCGTCTAATAAACTCTCATTTCCTCCCAACTCCCAACCTTTGCATTTTAAGCTTCGCAAGCCTCCTTGTCCCAGAGGTGAACTGTGCCCAG